TTTTTTTTTTTTTTTTCTGATGGCAACGGGTTTGGTCGGGTTTATTGCTTGGAATGTTTTGAAGTTATAATTCCGAATATGGGGCGGGAAAGAAAGAAGAGCCAGGAGCAGGCCATGTCCTTTGGAACCAGGGTTGCTGCACTGAGAGCCTCCTCGATCCAGGGGAAGGTTGATGCTAAGACACACGGAGATCTCTGTGGAACACTGGGCCCACAGATATTGAAAGGAAACAAAGAACTTTCCCCCAGAACCAAAAGAAAGAAAGCCTTCCCCTAGAGCTGGTGCCCTGAATTTGGACTTCTAGCCTCCTTAACTGTGAGAGAATAAAGTTCTGTGTGTTAAAGCCAAGAAAGAAAGAAAGTTACATCACTCTTTTAAGTGTCCAAACCAAAAAACAAAAAGAAAAACCGTTGCTGTCGAGTCTATTCTGACTCATAGTGACACCATAGAACAAAGTAGAACTGCCCCATATGGTTTCCAAGGAGCGCCTGGTGGATTTGAACTGCTGACCTTTTGGTGAGCTGACATAGCTCTCAACCACTATGCCACTAGGATTTCCAAAAGTCCAGTGGAATCTAAATACCATAGTAATTGGATATCCTCCATTATCTGTTTGAGCTCTGGTGGTGCAGTGGTTAAATCGCTCAGCTGCTAACCGAAAGGTCAGCTGCTTGAACCCACCAGCCACTCCACGGGAAAAAGATTTAGCAGTCTGCTTCCGTAAAGGTTTACAGCCTTGGGAACCCTGTGGGACAGTTTTACTCCGTCCTATAGGGTCGCTTTGAGTCGGAATCCACTCGATCCATTTAAAAAATAGGGGAACAAATTCTTCTTTAACAGTTGGGAATTTTACATGTTCCTTTTCCTCCATGAACTTGTATTTCCATTCCACTCCTGTCAGAAATTTTACCCTCTCTTTATGTTTGGAAATCTTGTGTTGATTACTCTGTCAGTAAAATGTTTATAGTAAAAATTTATCTTTGTTCATAAAAAATATATAGGGTAGGGAAGAAATCATACAAAAATTTGATTAGTCAGCAAGGACTTGTTCAAGAGAGGTGAAAAGACAGACAAGAATGAGGATAATATATTGGAATCACAGAAACAATTAGCAATTGGAAGTTAAAATAGTCTGATTTAAAATATTTTAGCTGTTCAGAGTTCTAAGGGAAAAATACGTACAAATTATTCATTTAGTTAGAAAGATTTTCAAATTGCTAATTTTTACTGTTTTTCTTTCAAGATAGCTCTTGTTCCTCTTCCCTCTGCCATCTTTTTTTTAATTATAAATTATGACGGACGAAGATAAAACAATTGAACGTGCAGATTCCAAACCTTCCACAGAGGTGAGTCACACAGCCCTCTGCACATTAAGAAACACAGATACATCTCATTAAGTGTAGAACATCCCAGCCATTTCTTTAAGGAACGGATTGTCTTCAGTCTATTATTGAATTGTGTTTTCTTCATTCCTTACCACTCCACTAGCAATTCCCCCATTCTTAATCCCCAGGCTCATACAGGCCAGATCAGGTATGACTAGCAGTTTCCCAGCTAAAGCCATTAGCAACCGGCCCTTACATGAGACTGGAAAAATGAGAGCCTGTGAAAATCTTTTGTGTTCCCAAACTAAACCCTAGAATGATTTTGGGTTCTTCCCTTTCTCTTCTATTTCTTAAATTCAAGTAGATGAATGAATGTGAATTGATTTTTTTTTTTTTTTAACCACAGATAGTTATCTTTTCCTGAACAACTTTGGTATATTTGCTGTCTGTTGCCCTGTATCTTATCTTAAATATACTGATTGTTAAAACCCAACCCCCAACAAAACCAGAAAAACCCACTGCCATGGGGTTGATTCCGACTCTTAGCGACCCTATAGGACAGAGTAAAGCTGCCCCGTAGGGTTTCCCAGTCTGTAATCCTTAGGGAAGCAGACTGCCACATCTGTCTCCCACGAAGCAGCTGGTGGGTTTAAACTGCTGACCTTTTGGTTGGCAGCCCAGTGCCTTAACCCCTGCCCCACCAGGGCTCCTATTTTAATCCCAGCATAATGAAATTTGATGTGAGTCAAGCATTTATACCACAAATAGTGACTCAATGCTAAATATAACTTAGTTCTTGTTCTAAGCATCAGCCGATTAGCTAGTAATAAAGCTGTGCATTTTCCTATAAAGGGTTAGCCTTCATTGTAGTAATGGAAATATGGTTTGTGATATGATGAGTCAGAACCTATAAAAATGTAGAGCAAATCAATACAATTTTAAGGACATATTTTGCTCCTTTAGAAACGGGAGGAGCCGAGTATGAACCTCGGGAGTGCAGATGGGGGTGAACCAACAGAAGGAAGTAACCTCCTGAGCAGCGGTGAAAAAAGGCCACAAGAAACACCAACTGAATCAAGTCATTTGCAGAGACTGAGACAAACATTTGCTCGCCGTCCATGTGGATCACCGGTTAGCAAAATAACAGATGGTATGTAAACAATCAGGGTGAATTAAGAACATGAGAGTAAAAGATGAAGTTGTTATAATAAGAGATCCCAAAATAATAAAATTTAAAAGAGAAAAAGTAGTTTACTTCTCTCTCACGTGACAAGTACTAGGTGAACAGTTCACACTGCTAGGTGGCTTTGTTCCACGTGGTCATTCAGGGACTCATGCTGTCAAGGCCCCACCATCTTCAACATGGGGCTTCCAAGATCTCTGTAGTTGCCACCATTCCAGCCATTAGCAAGGGAAAAAGAGCAGAAATTACAGTGTTTTCCTTTTCCTCATCTGAGTAAGCATTTCGAAGAATTACTTCAGGGTTCCAATAAGAGAAATGTTTGTGAAATCATTTGTAAACAGACAAGCACTACATAAATGTTGGTTGTTATTACTGTTAAGTAATACAACTAATATTTGAGCAAGCACATCTCAATTTATACTCTAAATGGAACCCTTCATTTTATAAGCAAGGATCTTGGTTTGCAATTCAGCTCAGTGCAATAGAGTTGTCATGACTAAAACATTTCTGGGATTTTTTTTTTTTTGGAATTTATCTCAGCAGTATTTTGAATATTGTTGGGGTTGGAGTTGGTCTTTGGAAGCATCCAAAGGTTATTATGATATCAATTTGATGAATAAAATGGACGTTCAGATTCAGTAATGCCATTTTTTTTTGTTCAAAAAGAAGTATGTATAAGTATGTATGTGTTGAGGGATATATAGTATAGTAAAGAAGAAGAGTTGTAAAGTTTAAAGACAACTTCAAAATTATTTTGAGGAATGACAGCATCATTGGAGTAAATATGTGATCTCCCAAGATAAATATATTGAAGAATGTAATACATTTAATCTAGAAGTTTTGATTACTGAAAAATCAAACTCACTTCCTTATAGTTATACTTGAGTTCTGAAAGACATTTTTATTTATTTATTGTACTGTAGACGAAGGTTTACGGAGCAAATTAATTTAATTTAAACAATTACACGTATTGTTTTGGGATATTGGTTGCAAACCCCACAACATGTCAACACTCTCCCTTCTCGACCTTGGGTTCCCTGTTACCAGCTTTCCTGTCCCCTCCTGCCTTCTAGTCCTTGCCCCTGGGCTGGTGGGCCCATTTAGTCTTGTTTTGTTTTATGGGCCTGTCTAATCTTCGGCTGAAGGGTGAACCTCAGGAGTGACTTCAATACTGAGTTAAAAGGGTGTCCGTGGGCCATACTCTCAGGGTGTCTCCAGTCTCTGTCAGACTAGTGATGAAAGACATTTTTACCATTCTTATCTGGACTATAGGAAAGCCAAGTATGACACGATATATTTTGGGTTCTAGATGTGTTTTCAGTGCAATTAGGTAAGGTTCTAAAAGCATGGGGGAAAAATCTCAAAGTTTATTTGGAACAAAATAAACTAATATATGGGTCCCAAAATATACACTAGCTAATAAGGCAAGAGATAATTTATTACCTTTTCTGTCCTTTTTATTATTTTTTAACCTTTACCATTCAAATTATGCCATGTTTTTACTTAAAACAATTGCAATAAAATAGATATAGATTGACATAAGGAAAAGATGAAAATGAATGATATGATTTGGAGACTCATATTTTTATAAAAATTCTATAATCATTGTCCATAGGGCTGCCTGAAAGATGAGGCTGGGTGTATATAAACACCTCTTCACTTGTCTTCCTGTCCTTCTGTTTCTCAGAATTACAGCACTGCTCCTGTCCTATACTCCTCCCTGGGCCCCTTCAGTATACACTAAGTATGCTTCTTATGAACTAATCTTACATGTGAAAATATGATTTCCCAAAATTATAAGTGAGAAGTTAATTATTAACTGAATTAATAACAGTTTAGAGTAACCTTATAAGTATGCATTTTCTGTGTATTTAGACTTACACAGTGCTTCACACTTTACAAAGAGCTCTTCATGACTTACCTTTAGCAAGCCCTGTGCATGTAGATGGAGCCCTGGTGACACAGTGGTTAAGAGGTACAGCTGCTAAACGAAAGGTCGGCAGTTCAAATCTGCCAGCCGTGCCTTGGAAACCCTAAGGGGCAGTTCTACTCTGTCCTATAGGGTTGTTAAGAGTTGCAATCAACTTGACAGCAACTGTGGGGTTTTTTTTGGTATGCGTGTATATAAATATGTAATGTATGGAAAATTAATTCATAGGTAAAAGTAGAGGAACAAATCCTTTTTGCCTCTGGGATGTGAGCTATAATTTTTTTTCCTTCTACTTTTCTACTTTTTTTAAAGTTTTGATTTTTTTTTATAATATCAGAAATGTTTTCATAAATTTTGTTTTCTGATAACAACATAATCCTCTATTATTTTCTATATTTGATGTGCTGCCCAAGATATCTTTTATATTATTAAAATGTGTAATACAAACATATATATATATATAAATCTTAGAGTTAGTGAACAGCATTATTAAGACCATTTTGGCTGAAGAGCACTAAACTAGACATGGGAAGAAAACAAGAAAAATTGAAGCCAGTTCATGCATTTAAAGAACGTACAGTCTAATTGGAATGTCAAAATATATAGTTGAGAATAACAGGAAATATAGGTGTTATTCTAAGACTTGAAAGTAAACATCTAAATTCAGCAAATTAAAATTCATTATAGTCAATCATGTATACGAGACTAATGGGCACACCAGCCCAAAAGCAAAGGTGAGAAGGCAGGAAGGGGCAGGAAAACTGGGTGAATGGAAACAGGTAACCTGGGGTTGAGAAGGGGACATATCCTGGGGTTGGCAGCCAATGTCACAAAACAATTTGTGTACTAACTGTTTAATGAGAAACTAATTTGTTCTGTAAACTTTCGTCTAAAAAAAGAATAAAATGCAATATAATAAGATTCATATCATGAGATTGAAAGAATTATTTCTTGAAAGAAAGAAGAATGTTTTAATATACCGTTTTCTAAATGTTAGTAGTTTCTTTAGCTACTAATGTGTTCATTACTTACTACTCAATATTTATTTCAAAAAAAATTTGTAAATGATATCGAATGCTGCAAATGACAATTTATTGATAGAAACTAGTTTCCCTGGTTTATTTCAGTTGCCACGGATTTTCTTCTGTGGGCTATGGTTTGGTCAGTTACCATCGGTACATTTCTTCCTGGAGTAAACCCGTCTGGAATCATAATCCTATTGTTTTTTGCCTTTCTTGGAGATACACTGTTCTGGCTCATTAAGTTGCCTATATTGCCGCCACTGCCTGATTTTCTTGGTAAGTGCTAACCACTTGCTGTTTTCTTCAGAGTATATCGTATTTTTTAAATAGTAGTTTGGAAAGTTTTGGGGGAATAAAAGTGAATTTGGTGGGATAGAGCCAATTTGTACCAGCTTGCAAAAAACAATTTTAAATTCTGAGGAATTTTGTGAGCCAGTTGTTAAACATGTCTATTTTAAAATATTAGATTATATAAGCTTAAAATTAAATAATTTATATTAAAGAGCAGTAAAAACTCAAAATTCATCACTTCCTAATGATTTTACTACATTTTCCCCTTATCTGTGCTCTTAAGGTTTTTTGTGTCGATTGTATCTTTATGGTGGAAATAGTATATGATGGTGTGCTGTTCTGCAGCTTCCCAGCTCCACATTCAGTGACTCCATGTTGATAGCTTACAATCGGCCATGTTGGACCACAGAGTCAGAAAATTCTGCAAATTAGGGATTGATACATTGTTTTGTTGATTGTTTTGTCAATTGCCTAGACTTAAAATTTTATGGAGAAAAAGTCAATAATTCAGACTAAACTTAAAAGTATGTCTTATCTGTAGCCTTTGCCTTGTGAATAGCATGAAAAAAAATTGTGGATATTTTCTTCTAGGATTCAAAAACTAATTTCTGATTTGTCAAAGAAGTCACCCACATCACTGACAAATGAGTGAAGTTCTGACACATATCTTGTTTCATTTTTATCTTATGCAGTCACATAACCAAAAATACCACCTAACATGCATGGTGAAACTACACTTGTTCATCAATGATGAGTGGTTTCTTTGCTGAACCAGATAGTAATCAAGCATTATTTGTAATGATTTTGTGAAGTCATGGTTAAACTGCAAACATAGTTGGTTATGAATCCAGTTCAGCAAAAATCAGTGAGAACATCCTGTGAGAATCGATCAGCTATATGGAATTTACAGTGAAGAGTATTGTATATTTGTGAATTGTGTGCTGCACAATGTATCTTTTATATTATTAAAATGTATAATAAGTCATATCTTGTATATTGTTAAAATGTATAGTAAACTTATATACAATATAAAGGTGCATACATTTTTGAAAAGCTGGTTGTTAAGCATTTAATAGCACACCGCTGGGTATATTTAAAATATAATATCATCGTCTTAAAAATTAGACAAAAATCTTATTCCAGAAGCAGTGAGAATGCCTACCCAGGACATGCATGCAAATTATTCTTAAGACTAGCTATTATGCCTTTAATATTTCTTTTTAAAATTCCATTAATTACAAAATTTCAATTTTCCACTTTCAATTTACCGCAAAAGGTATTTTTGTGTTTGTTTCTAACAGATTTACTAATCACAGAGTTTTATTCAAAAACCACTTACCATTGACACATACATATATATTGGCACACATTCCCCAAACTAAAAGTTTTGTTTTGTTTTTGTTAGCTTATAATAGGAAAATCAGGGTTGTTAACTTAGGCCAAAACTATTTGCTTTTGAATTTATGGTCAGCAAGTTGAAGCTAAACATAAAAGAGGGGTAAAATTATTTACATCTTATTATGAACTATTTCTCAATATATTTTTAAATTTTCTGTAAACTGAAGTTATTTCCCCTAACGTATTTTACTTCTCATAGGCACTATTTGTTCCCTAAAGTTGTTAATAAGGAGCCCTGGTGGCACAATGGTTAAGTGCTTGACTGCTAACTGAAAGGTGGGATATTTGAACCCACCAGCAGCTCCACAGGAAAAAAGACCTGGCGATTTTCTCCCGTAAAGTTTACAGCCTAGGACACCCTATAGGGCAGTTCTACTCTGTCCCATGGGGCAGGTCTACTGTGCCCTATAGGGTTACTATGAGTCTGAATCAACCGGACAGCACACGGCAACAACGGTGTTCATTGAATTGTTGTTAAAATGAGCTGTTTCCAGTTATGCCGGTGTAGTATAGATCAGGGGTTGGCAAGCCACCTGTTTTTGGTCAATAAAGTTTTATTGTAACACATTCAGTCTCATTTGTTTACAAACTACATATGGCTGCTTTTGCGCTTAACAACAGAGTTTTGAGCTTGTCACAGAGACTGTATGGCCTACAAAGCCTTAAAATATATATTATCAGGCCCTTTCCAGTAAATGTTTGCTGACCCCTGCATCTGTATCAGTGCTTCTCAAACTTTATTGTACATAGGAATGACCTTGAGATTGTGTTAAAATGAGATTCTAATTAAATAGGTCTGAGATGGGGCCTGAGATTCTGCATTTCTAATGAGCTCCAACACCACGCTCTAAGTAGAAAGATCATTAGCTCTCAAGCCTGGCTGCACATGGAAATCATCTGGAGAATTTTTTAAAATGCTAATGCCTGGGTCCCCCCTCCCCCCGCCCAGAGATTCTGAATTAATTGGTATGGAGGACAGCCCAGGCATTAGAATTTTTAAAAGCCCCCAGATGATTCTAATCATATGCAGCTGAAGCTGAAGACCAGTGTTCTAGACTCTATGAAAATGTTCTTTACTTCTCAACTTCTTTTCACCAATCCAAGTCTATTATTGCAACAAGCAAAATATACCACACTGCAAAGAGAGAAAGCTTTGCAGTGATCACATGAAGTCTCCCGAGATAACTGAAAATATTCTGAAAAGTATGTACGTGATATATTTTATATCTCTTTTTATAGTATTATACCTGTGATAGAGAAATTTTCCTTTTTTTTATGATTTTAGGACCAGTGTCCAAAGCCAAAGCATTATCTGAATCCATAAAGAAGACGTATTAAAATACAGAATACATGTGATGATTACCTGTTCTGTATTTTTAAGAGTTTATTGAAATAATTACCAGGGACAAGTGATGACAAAGCATTTTTGTTTGCTTGTTTCTGAAAAGAATGTGAAAACAATTTCCCTGAGACACTTTTCCCTTGCCAGTGGCCTGGTTTTGATTTGGCAGATGTCGCTTTCTTGCCTCTCAGCCCATGGGGACCTTGCCCTTCGTTGAACACCTTCCCTGATACAAGAGTATTATTTTCTCTAAAAATTTGTGTTCTGGAAATTTTTTTAAGTAGGCAGAAATTATCAATATATGGGCATCCTTATTTCATCTACTCCCAAATTATTTTAAAGCAAATCATTACTGAAAAAAAGTGGTCTTGTCCTGTAACGTTTCACAGAGTCTAAATTTTGCTGATTATATCCCAGCGGTGGTATTTAGCATGCTCCTCTGTCCCTTTTATATAAATTCATTGTTAGATGTAGAGGCTTGATCAGAAGGTTTGTTTCCGTATGGTCCACAAAGCCTAAGATAGATAGATATATAGATATAGATATATTGCTTTCGTTTTTTGCAAGACTACTTCGTAGGTGATTCATGGGTATGTAATGTCTGGTCATCTCTTTTTCTCTCGTATTATTAGCCATTGATGATTAACATCTTCATTCACTACTTCCTTAGGCATTGCAACTATGGTGCAATGGGTTTCTTTTATGTGGCCTTTCTGGCCCTGAGTTTACAGTTCTTCCAGAATGATTGGTCGGGCTCCAGCCTGCCAAGTGATTGATCTGTTTGCTATCCATCTTACAGCTTGCAAAGACTGGTTGGTTTGCTATCTGCATAAGTGACTTCCAGGGATTGGTTGATTTCTATCCACCTAAGTGGCTTGCAATCCACCCAATAGAATTGGTCAGTTTACCATCCTGCTGGGAAAATCATGCCTTGAAATTGACTAAGAGTTTTCCTATGTACGTGGTCGATCTCACAGATCTATAAGAGCCTGGTGAGGAGCGTGTCCTTTGGACCCAGGGTCCCTGCACTGAGGACCTCCTAGACTGAAATGAAAGAGCTGTAACAATGGTCAAGGGCTGTAATACTGAGCTACTGACACTGAAGACCAAGAGAAATGGCGACAAGGACAGCAGAGCCGGGAAGCAGAGAAATGGCGACACGGGTGTGATCAGCAGGAACCGCGCAACCAGCAGACACAGTGTCTAAAATACTGAGAGCATTTGGTAAATGTTGAACGGATGAACGAAAGGGCAGGGTTGTCCATCCCATCATAACTCACCAAAGCCTTTGCTTAGAAGCAAAGTAGTTTAGGCATTTTTAAATTATCTGATGTGAAGGTAAAATGGAACCCATGTAAGTATTTGTTGGTGTTTCAGGTAACCTAACATAGCACATAATTTCAGGAACTGTTTGCTGTTTGTACCCAAAGGGATGACTGAATTCGAGGTTGCAATAAAACTTTTTGTATTTAGAATTTGATCACAGTCTTTCCAAATGCTGCATCCTGTTTTTCACTTCAGGTATTTTGAGGGATATTAACTATCATAATCTATCTTTTTAATCTGCATATTAAAATCTTTGCAGCTCTAATTTATTATACTACTTTAATTTCTTAAATTAAAAACTTAATTTTATCCAAGGACTAAGCCTAAAGGAAGTGGTTCCTAGGATTATATAGTTGTCTCCTTCACATCTGATGTGCTGACAGATGTTTTCTGTATTTGGAAGCTAACAAAAGAGTTGTTTGACTTCTCCATTAAAGGTGCAATGCTTGCTGGGTTTCTCATCAGAAACATCCCAGTCATCAGTGATAACGTGCAGATCGAGCATGAGTGGTCTTCCTCTGTGAGAAGTATATACCTGTCTATCACTTTGCTTTATGTCGGCCTTCAACTGGATTCAGAGGTATGAAGTGGGGATTTCTAATTACTGAGTAGGAATTTTGCTCCTCCAGTGCTGCAATATTTAGAATCACTGAGCTTTACAAAGAGGATGTGGACACTTTGCGTGACAATCTCAAGGAGGGAATAGCATTTATTTCATACGGGACTATTGTGCGGGTAGTACCTTATGCTTCACAAGACCTCAGAAACTGTTCCTATGCTTTCTTGGAGAAAGGTGAAGTGGGGACAGCACCAAGAATAAAGGTTCCCCTTTTCTCTGACAGAGATGCAGGCCACAGTTATAAACTATGATCAGTGAGGGAGAAGACTTGTTATTTTTGGTGTGCAAAGCCCTGTATACATGCTTAGGGCTAACTGTACCGGCTCAGGAAACTTTCTAGTGTATAAAATGAGGCTTGTGTTTTTGTTTTGTCTTGTTTTCCATGTATGTTTTTGAATGCAGGAGTAAATGTTCCTGGGGGGCGTCATGAACCAAGCGAGGCTTTTTGCCCTAGTCTCACCCTGAGGCCACAGATGATAAATAAAGCTAGTACTGAGAGGGTTAAGTCGGCTAGTGTGGGGATTTTGAGCACAGACTCTGTAAGCTGCTTGCCTGAGTTCAAAACCTGGCTCCACCACTCACCAGTTTCATGATCTTGAGCAAATTAACTTGTGCCTCTTTACAAGAGGACACGTGAAAGATGGGGATAACAGTACTACCTACCTATCTCATAGTGTGGCTATGAGGTCTAAATAAATTAACTCTGAAACACTTAGAACACTGAAGTGTTTGCTAAATAAAGCCCATTACCTAGAAGGTTTGTGTCTGAATGCTGAAGGAAAAGTTTAAGGTCATCTCATACTCAAGTCCGTCTTCTCTGCATGCCTTTAGAGAATTATCTTAGTGTGTCTATTTTTATATTTCAGGCCCTGAAGAAGTTGAAGGGTGTTTGCGTGAGACTAGCCATGGGTCCTTGTCTTGCGGAGGCATGCGCATCTGCTCTTCTTGCTCACTTCCTAATGGGTTTACCATGGCGATGGGGATTTATACTGGGGTAATGGTTTTTCTTTGTCCGTATGAAAACATGCACAGATTTTAGGCATTTCTATAATTCTGTACCAGAGAATGCATATTAGCATTTACTTAAGGACATCAGAAAATGTGACATAGACATTCCAGCATAATCTAAATACCCTAACTTTAAAATATAGTATATGTTTCTGTAGGTGCTAACTTTTACAGTGATCGTAATAATTTAAATTAATTGAAGAAGTAATGGCCTTTTAACTACCCCTGGTTCCATTCTGGTGACAGAGATGCAGGATCCCACCTTAAGTCTGTACAAAGGAAAATAAACACATTAACAGTCATTAACCCCCAGGACTGTTTTCCTCCTTCTTGTCACCAGACTGTTGTGATTTGTGGTTTTGCTGTCTCTTCCTCCTGTTGTCAGTCCTTGCTTCTCATGATTAAGAACCATGAGAAGTAAATAAATAACCAAGCACTTAGTGTTTGGTTCTAAAAAGTAGGTAAGAAGAGTCCCTCGGTGGTGCAGGTGGTTAAGCTTAGCTAGTAAGTGAAACGTTAGAGGTTCCAGTCCACCCAGAAGTACCTCAGAAGAAAGGCCTGGCACTCTATTTCCCAAAAATCAGGCACTGAAAACCCTGTGAAGCACAGTTCTACTCTAACAAGGATGAGGTTGCCATGAGGTGGAGTTGACTCTACGGCAACTGGTTTGGGTTAAGTAGGTTAAAAGTAAGAAATTCTTACTTGTTATGGTTTAGATTTTAGAGCTATACTGCCTGGGTTCAGATCCCAGCTCTGCAGCTTTCTAGCATGTGACTTTTGGCAAATTACTTAATCTCTCTGGACCTCAATCCTTATTTGTAAAATGATGATTATGATTGAATCCACCTCATAGGGTTGTTACGAGAGTTAAATTAGTTAATACATGTAAAGTGCTTAAAACAGTGTTTGGCACGTAAAGTGCTCCTTGCTGTTCCTGCTCCTCTTGTTATTATCACCACGGTCTCTGTCATCACGACCTTCTCCTCCTGGTCTGTCCTCTTACTTTACACACCGAGTCCTGATAGTGTCACTGGCTTCCAGCCTAAAATACACGTGGCAGTGTTTTTCAACCCCCGTAACATGAATGTTTTGTTTAAGAAAAAGGCAGATTTCTGGGGCTTAACCCCATTAGGTCTTCTATTTACTGGTTGCTGTGGAATCATTTCCGACTCATGGCGACCCCATGTGTGTCACAGTAGAACTGTGCTCCATAGGGTTTTCAGTGGCTGATTTTTCAGAAGTAGATCACCAGGCCTTTCTTTTGAGGTGCCTCTGGGTGGACTTGAACCTCCAGCTTTCAGTTGGCAGCTAAGCACATTGATCATTTGCACCACCCAGGGGCAGATCTTCTATAGCACTCACACAATAAATAAATAATATACATAGCCCCGGTGGCACAGTGGTGAAGAGCTGTTAACCCAAATGTCGGCTGTTGGAATCTAACAGCTGCTCCTTGGAAACCCTATGGGGAGGTTCTTTTCTGCCCTGTAAGGTCACTATGAGTCAGAATCAACTCGACGGCAACAAGTTTGGTTTGATTTGCTAAATATCTATCTATATATCTATAAATTTTTTTTAAGGCAACCTAAGCATTTCCATTGCAGGTTGTCTGTGGCCACACTCTGAAAAACAGTGTCCTGTGGAATTTATGTGTGTGTGTTTCTGGTTTGGCACTTCTATGCCGTTTGAAAGACTGTAGGTAAAAGTCTACAAAGTCTAGCCTCCAAAAGAGTAGAGGTTATTATAATTTTTTTAAAAAAGAAAGATATTAAGATACTATCATAACTCATTAAAGTGCTGCCTGCTCAGTTTTGTTTTAGGTCCTGCATCTCTAAGCATTGTGGCGCCTTCAATGCTCCTTTTGGTGGAAGACGGCTATGATGTTAAAGGTGTCCCGACCTTCCTCCTGGATGCTTACAGCTTCAATACCATTCTAGCCATCACTGGCTTTAACATGTGCTTGGGCATAACATTTCCCACAGGTAAACGAGTCAGTTCACATCATACTGTTCTCTTGCACTCTAGAGACATAGATTAAAATGTTATGTTAAGCATGGTGTATTTGCTTGGTAATTGATTAAGGCAAAATAAAAGAGAAAACAACTCCAGGAGTTCTTTACGGGGGTGGGGGGGGGGCAGTACATACCTTTACTCCCTTCCTGTGTCTAGATATAGGCTGTTCAAGAGTCTGCAGTAAACACAGTAAAAGGGATACAAAGTTGTAAAGTTTAAAGAAGGATGAGAACAGCTTCTGCTTGGAGTGATCTGGCAAAATTTAATCTTGGAGATTCACACGAAGGATGAGTAGATTTTTTTCCATGAGCACAAGTGACAGAGCTGTCCAAGCAGAAGGAACAGAATGCTTCTAAAAGAGGAATAGTTACTGTCCCCTCATCTTTAGCATTTTGTGGGTAGCCACAGCAATGGTTTTAATGGGTTGCATTGATCCTTGTAAACAAGAAATCATTTGTGTCTGATACAGACGTATCTTGTTTTATGTAATAATAAAAGAGGAATTTAAGACATTTCTTCACACACTATTATTTGATCCCTTTTTACCTTTAAAGGCGTCCTGGTGGCACAGTGGTTAAGCACTCAGCTGCTAACCTAAAGGTCAGCAGTTCGAACCGACCAGCTGCTCTGTGGGAGAAAGATGTGGCATCTGCTTCCATAAAGATTACAGTCTTGGAAACCCTATGGGGCAGTTCTACTCTGTCCTGAAGGATTGCGATGAGTTGTAATCGACTCAGTGGCGGTGGGTTTGGTTTTGGGTTTTTATTATCCTTTGGCATTTCTTAATCTTATCTTCTAAGATTGAGAGAGAAGATTTTCAACCTTGTATTATTGACAAAATGTAATCGTAGCCTCAATTTCGCTTCAGATTATCATGTGGGAAACATACCTTCTTGGAAAGTCATGCATTTTCAGTTTCTCCAAGCCCTGTAGTTATCTTCCCATTTTATGATTTATGCCAGTTAGCAGAGCATCACCTCTTCGCATTGCCCCAGAGTCTGCCTTCCAGCCAAGTCCTGCCTTACAGTGTCTGCTGTGTATTACTGGCAAATTAATCTTCTAAAAACATTGTTTAATAATTTTACCTCCTGTTATCTCCTCAAGAACCAATGAGGATTCCCTTTTACCTATTAGGTCAATTCTACACTCTTATCCTTATTTTAATTCTACTGTACTTTTCCAAGCTTATTTTCTCGCTGTTTTCCTGGTACACACCTTTAATACAGTCGTTCTCAACCTTGGCTGCACATTAGAATTACTTGAGGAGTTTTAAAAAATACCCATATATGGGCCCTAAATTAACCAACCAACCAGTTACTGTCGAGTTGATTCCAACTCTTGGCACCCCTTGCAGAGTACAATACATGGTGCTCCATAGGGTGTTCAATGGCTGATTTTTTGGAAGTAGATCACCACGTCTTTCTTCTGAGGCACCTCTGGGTGTACTTGACCCTCCAGCTTTTTTTGTTCACAGCTGAGTGTGTTAACATTTGTACCACGCAGGGAATTCCGTAGACCAATTCAATCAGAAACTTTGAGAATGGAAACCAGTGCAGTCAGGATCAAGAACTATTGCTTTAGAGCAATAGTGTTTGTATTAAAATCACAGGCGGGGGGGAGGGGAGAGGAGGGAATGGGAAGGGTCAGGGCTGGGGTTTTTATAATCCAGAGTTGTGGGGGGTGTAGGGGTGGAGGTGGGAAGAGAAAGTGTGGATAGTTTGAAGAACCTTCATAACTGACTCTGATAAGATCCCTTTCTTCCCCCTCCCACTCCCTGCCAGTGTGGTCCATAGACCTTCTGGATCAGGATGACCTAGATGCCTCTTTAAAATGTGGCTTTCAGGCCCTGCCAGACTTATTGAATTGGAATTTCCAGGGATGAGACCCAAGTCTTTTTTTCCCCCCGAATAACTTTAATATACCAGAGACTGAAAAGAATTAGCTACTTTCTACACACTCACAGTAAATTATTTACTGTAATACCTTGAGTGTTGTGCTAATATCACAGAGAGATGCGTTTGACAGTTACACCGTTACCGGGCAGACAATTGTCCTAGCTAGATAAAAATACTGCAGAGGTCGTTTTAAAATAAATAAATAAATACATAAATGAGACAATTGCTGCAAGAAATAACTAGTTACTGAGTACATTTTTCCTTAGAACAGTGTGTGAAGAAGGGCTTTATGTGTTGAATAATTTTAATGTAATTTTCTGCATAATGTTCTAGCAAAGATTTTTCTATTACTTACCTCTTTCAAAGAAGTTAATCAAAAAATAAAAACTTTTCTAAAAGCAATCTGGTGGTGCAGTGGTTAAGAACTCGGCTGCTAACCAAAAGGTTGGCAGTTCAAATCCACCAGCCGCTCCTTGGAAACTCTATGGGGTAGTTCTGCTCTGTGCTGTCAGGTCTCTATAAGTTGGAATCGACTCAGCGGCAGTGGGTTTGGTTTTTAAGAGCAATCTCAAAAATCATTTGTTTTCAGATGTACTTTTAGAGTAAACGTTTGAGAAGGAATAAGTCCCTTGTACTGTTTATAGTAAGAAAAGGTTTTTGATTTTTATGTCCAAATTCTTATGTTACTGTATTCTTATACATCTCAGAGATACTAAAATCAATGCACATCTATTCTTAAAAATCAGACTCTTAAATGATAACTTGAAGGCTTACCTATATCTGTGTAAGTCACTCAGCCTATGCATATAATGAGGTAGAACAAATTAGCACTGAATTATGAATTTTATCTTTCACATTTTCTTAGGCCCTTTAAAATTTATTGACATAAACGCATGTAAAACTGCCCAAATCATGTCATAGCCTGTTTCATAATTTGTCTCCAATTACATGCATACCTTTCTTATACCATTAAAAAAAAAAAACCCCAATTATAAGATAGGCTCTTTTTAGTAAACACTTTAAGTCACAATATTTAAGAATGCAGAGGGTCTGTAAACTTCCTCGTATGTAATTAGATGCTTTATTCCAATGATTGTAGAGGTGAAGTTTGTGTATTTAAGGATTAAGCATTCTGTCTGAGCATTTCTCTTTGTGTCTTCTTCAGGCTCCACAATTTTTAATGTCCTTAGGGGAATTTTGGAGGTCGTAACCGGTGTAGCAACTGGATCTCTTCTTGGAGCTTTTATTCATTACTTTCCAAGCAGTGACCAGGTGAGAGAAATAACCTGTGGGAAAGTCATGCTCTAAAATGCCATTAAAAACGCTCTGAAACACTTCCATCAAAGCTAAGTGTGAAGGACGTGGTTTAGAAAATTGCCCCTCAGTGTAAAGTTGCTTACTGCTGTATCAGTGCCATCCACGAGCTTTATGAAGGGGACTAAATGCGTAAGATATTTAATGCAGTCCAAACACTTTTTTCTCTAATTTATATTCTATACACTTTAAATTTCACAATAAAACAAATATCATCAATTAAAAAAAATAAGATATGCAAGATTTTTTATTATATTTAACTAAATCATGATGTATAATGGCTTTTTTTTTTTTTCAGTCCTTTTTGTTAGTATCAAAATACTTTAGCTTCTAATACTATCAGACAGATAGGCTTTAACATCTCTGTGTAATGCAGTCCAATATTTCCTGTGAAGAAGATCAAAGTTCTTCACTGCACACAATGCTTTCTCAGTGAGACAGAAGGTTTTGATTGTTTCCTTTTCTCCTCCTAATTCTCTTAGGATAGATAAACATTTAGAAATTTTTAAGAATTGGTATTTTCAGATTTCAGTGCACTTTGAATGGAGTTCATCAAAATTAAAGTAGAATTTTAATTAAGAAAATTAATATTTCTATTATCAGAATGCATGTTGATTTGAATTTTTCTTGTACTGTTACTCCAAAAAACTCTGAAATTGTCTACAGAAGATGCTATAAATGCACAAAAGAAACATATGAGATTGTTCTAATTATGCAACAAAATAAAGAATACATTTGTTTAATATTTTTATTATTTATAAAAAATAATAGCTTACTTTTTTGCCTACTGTGTATAAAATGCTGTGGTAAGTACTTTAAAGTCATCATCTACTGCCACGCTGTCCAACATTGTAGCCACTAGCCACAGGTAGCCATTTAAATTAGTAAAATTAAAAATTCAGTTCCTCCTCATAAGTTCTAACCAGTCTCTCTAATAATTACCACACAATTTAAATTAATTGTTCAAGGTTTGCTAATTGGTCTACCATCAAGACTTACTCTTGTTGAAAACAAAGAAACTAAGGTAACCTCATAGGAGGTATTCAGTCCTGAAAGTCATGTTCACACTAGCTGATCAGCTAATTGCTCAACATTAAGGAGACTAAAATATGTAGATTGAGGCGAATTCTAAATTATTCTAATTTTTTCTTAATATTAAGTGTACATACAATTGTAAAAATACTTGTAGACCTTTTTCCAATAGATTTTTAAAAATCAAAAAAGAAAACAGAATCAGTTCCTCAGTTGCACGTTCAGTGGCCACAGTGACTAGCGGCTCTTGGACTGGGAAGTGCAAATAGAGAATATTTCTGTCATCACTGAAAGTTATCTGGGCAGCGCTGACCTAGTGCAATTGGGATCACCCACGAGGACGGTACTGTGAATATGACCATTTTACTGGTGAAGAAATTGGGGGGATAAGTGACTTGAACAAGATCACATAGCTAGAAAGCAGTGGAGCTGGGATTGAACTCAGCTTATCCAGCTCCAGAGCCTGCATTTCTCCAAATCAGATCAAGCACTTTTAAAAACCTGCATCTTAAAGTGATCAAGATGTTTATAAGGCTGAACAGAGGAAAATAAAAAGAGAAAGGTACACAGTTGTCAGACTTAAAAAAAAAGCTACTCTCAATCTACAGCCTCCTGAAACTTCTTGCTAGTCAAGGATTTAGAAACAAAAACCAAGGGAGCACCAAATTAAAGAGGAAACAGCCTGAAGATGGTAGAGAGACGGTATCTTCAACCTCCATAGAACCCCTAAGATGTAAATGTTTTTATACCAGTTTCGCGGATGAGGAAACAAAGCTTGGAGAGGTGAAGTAACGCAGCCACGACATACACGCCAATGACGTAAAAGAGCTAGGATTAACCCAGGTCTGTCTGCATCCAAAGCCCGTGTACTTTTTTCTATTACTGTATTCAGCCCTGTGAAATTATGCATTGATAACTGTTGTTGTTGTTGGCTGATGTCAAGTCAGTCCCCAATTCATGGCGACCCCATGCACAACAGGACAAATCACTGCCCGTGTTTTCATAGCCTGATTTTTGGAAGTAGATCACCAGGCCTTTCTTCCTAGTCCATCTTGATCTGGAAGAAGTGCTGAAATCTTTTCGGCATCATAGCAATAACGAGAAAGATAATTGGTGTTCCGACATTTGAGTATACACTCACTCTGCCTTTGTTAAAGAAAAGAAGGTAAATGTTAGGTCACGCATTATGTGAGCAGAGGCAGGCATTTTTATTTTCCTATAAATTCGTATTGTAGAAAAATCAATAATTAAAAGTCAGTTATTAGAAATAATTTTGCTAATTAACTTTTTTCTCCTAAAGCGCGTTCATGATTGGAAGAGAATAGTCCTTGTTTTGGGGTTCTCTGTGCTCACTGTTTTCAGCAGCGTGTATTTTGGTTTCCCGGGATCAAGAGGACTGTGCACGTTCGTCATGGCCTTCCTTGCAGGCATAGGATGGACAAGGAACAAGGTGAATTTCATTTTAAGTTCTGTTCACAGCTACTTTCTGATCAGATTACTTTTTCATTCCAAATGCTTTTTTAACACCAAATAACATTTTTATCATAAAAGCTATTTGTATGCATATACAGATGTACAATGCCACACACACATGAATATCCTTTTTTTCCTTACGTATCAATTTATAATTTGATGTCTTTACTTAATATATATCATGGTTATATTTTCATGATGCTTTCCTCTTTTTTTGTCATGGCTGCAGAGTATTGCATTTTATAGCTATGTCGTTGTATGACGTTCCATCGATTCTGACTTATAAATAGTCTGTAGGACCCTATAGGACAGAGTAGAACTGCCCCATAGGGTTTCCAAGGCTGTAATCTTTACGGGGAAGGAGCCCTGGTGGCGCTAGGCTGCTAACTGTAAGGTTGATTGTTCGAACCTGCAAGCCGCTGTGCAGGAGAAAGACCTGGCAATCTGCTTCTGTGAAGATTACAGTCTTGGAAACCCTATGGGGCAGTTCTGTTCTGTCCTATAGACTAGCCGTGAGTGGGAGTGGACTCTTCGGCAACAGCTTTGGTTTTTGGTTTGAATCTTTAAGCGACGAGATTGCTAGGACTTTTCTCCTGAGGAGCCGGGAGTGGCTGGTGGCCACTGACCTTTTGGTTAACAGCCAAGCGCTTAACCATTGCACCACCTATGCTCGTTACTTAACCAGTCTCCTGCTAACAGATAGGTAGGTTGTTTCTAGTTTTCTGCTAAGGCAAACAGTACCTCAATTAAATACCCTTACATATACCGTATTTCATAAGCTATAGGACACTATCATTTCTAAGAAGCACTGTTACTTTATGTGCCACCAAGCAGGAAAAACAATATGCTGCCAGTTAAACTGTAACCCGCCATCCTAATTTCAGGAATGTTACAAGATGTGTATCTCAGAATTCACTAACTGTAGCTTATCTTTCAGTTTATGTGTAGGATAAATTTCTGGAAGTAGAATTACTCTATCAAAGAGTATGCACATTTAAATTTTTGATGGTGTCAATTTGCCCTTTCGAAAGGCTGAACTATTTTGCATTCCCACCAACAGTGTGGGAGAGGATCTCCTGACTATTTTCAGTCTTCAAATCTTTGTTAATCTGATAGGTTAAAAGTGTGTATTCTCATTAATCTGATTTGCATTTCTTTACGAGTGAAGCTAATCATCTTCTCAGATTTAACAACCAGTTTGTTCAAAAGCTTTGCCCGTTTTCAAGAGTTATTTGAGTTTTCCTTATTGATTTTTAAGATCACTAAGATTATTAATTTTCTTAATGTCTATTATGGAAATTAGCTGGTTGTCATTTATTTACTTTAATTTCCAGATATGTTTTTATAGAATTGACCTTGGCAGGATCATGTTATTTTGCTTAATGAAGAGATTACAGATGTAGGTGACTTAAATTAAGGGCAGATAATATGATTTTGGAATAATCTTATAAAACTTGAAGACAACTGTTCAAAATAATTCAACTTAAGATAATGCCTTATGGAAGAATATGTGAAGGTCATAAATCTTGAGATCAGGTATAAAATCATGTTCAGTTAAATGAATGTCTGCGAGGGTCTACTGGAGACAAAATTTCATTGTGGGTAAATAGCATTCAGGTAGAAGGCTTTCACTGTATAAGGATGTTGATTACAAAATTACAACAAGTATGATGTTGAATTATCTCATTTTAGAGGGAGGGATTAGTAGAGGCTGCCTGAAGCATTGTGTTGAGAGGGTACTGAGGCCACAGGAAAGTGGGCTTAGATGGAGTGGGCTTCAGGAGAGAGGGGAGAGCCCCTTTTAGCCCTGCCCCTGGCATTATGAGCACCTAAGCATCCTGCCTTGCCAGGAAGCTAAACTATAAGGCTTACATGATGTGTGTCTCTCTCTCCTCTCTTTTTTTTAAGCAGCACATGTATTAATAAATTCTACTGATTACACTGGGGGCATAGTGGTTAAGAGCTATGGCTGCTAACCAAAATGTTGGCAGTTCGAATCCACCAGGCGCTTCTTGGAAATTCTGTGGGGCAGTTCTACTCTGTCCTATAGGGTCATTGTGAGTCAGAATTGACTCTACAGCAGTGGGTTTTGTTTTTTGGGTTTAACATCCAACAAATGGAATGGAAAAAGTAGACAAACTTCCCAGTATAAATTGGGTACTCATCCCTCATCACGTTTGTAGTTATCAAAACATTTGTCTTTACATGGATTCACTTTATCTGTGGGCTGAGGCAAGGTTAATAGCCTACCTCTGCTAGTCTCAGCTCAAGACCAAGGGGTATGCTGCCTCCTTGGTGCTGTACTTGGCTTCTCTCGGAGGATTCATTGTCTGTCTTCCATCTCAGCCTTGGCTGCTGACTAAGAGACCCTGCTCTTAGAAGCACCCTGACCTACTCCTTTGCCCCAAGACAGAGATTATAGTTCCCACTTAGCAACGGGATGCTACTGCATTTGCATTGTGACCCCATGGCAACTGGTTTTTTTTTTTGTTTTGTTTTTAACAAATCAGAAAGTCTTCAGTAACATGTCCAGGGTCACAAAATTAGAAAGTGGCAGCATTGGGATTTAAACTCAGGTTTATCTGACCCCAAAACAACTTGTACTACCCTATAATACAACTGTAGCATTGTTGTACAGGGCACATTTTTATATTTTGACAACTGTTTGAGTAAAAAATATTAAGTGTATTGAAAAGCATTATAATCCTAAACTTTGCAATTTAAAACCAAACATCTAGCACAGCATGACTAATGTAACCAATTTTAATTTAAAAAATGAAATAAAAAAAATTTATCTCTAAATTCATAAGTGATAAGATTAAAAAAATATAAACAATGAGAAAGAGCCATAACATTTGGAATAGACCATAAAAGAGTAGTTTCAGCAACAGTGGAATCAAAGGGGAGACTCATGCCTCCTGCAAGTGGCCATGGACTATGGGCACAGAACAAAAAAGGAGGAAAAGGGAATCTTTAGTCAGTTTCAATTACATTTTTCTTCAAAAAACTGTAATGTGGGTTGTATAGAAAATATAACCCAGAACATAGGGTCATTTATCTACATTTATCATAACTTTATCTAAATTGCCTGCAGTCCAGCTGATTACCTGGAAAGAATCAATGTAATCCCTCAAACCAGAGAGAAAATCACTATTAAAATATGTTTCATATATACCTCTGGTGATAAAATATATGTATATACACACACACACACACACACACACACATATATATAGATAGGTAGATATACACACACACGTACAAATGTACTATAATTTTTTTTAACCATTCCTATATACCTATATATTTAGGTTATTTCCAGTCTCTTCTTTTAAATTATGCTGAAATCCAATATCTGATTATTTCCTGTTAGGGAACATTCCTAAAGGTGTAATTTTGGTGCCAAATAATATGAACATTCTGAGGTTTTTTGACACATATTACCAAACTACTTTCTAGAGTTGTATCAGTTTACTTTTCCGCCAGCAATATATGAAGTAAATATCTCATCACAAACTCATCAGCTTAGAATAATGCTTATCAAACTTTGACATGCATCAGAATCACCTGGAAGGCTTGTTAAACTAGATTTCTGGGCCCCATCCGCAATTATCTGATTTTGTAGGTCTAAGGTGGGGCCTGAGAATCTGCACTTCTAACATGTTTCAGGTGATGCTGATCCTACTCCTCTGGCGACCACACTTTGTGAGCCACTGGTTTAAAATATTATTGCTTTTAATCTTCAGCCATATTGATAGGTGAGAAATGGTATCCTGTTTTCCTTTATGCTTCTTTAACAGTGAGATTGAATACTTTTTCATATTTTTCACCATTTGAATTTTTCTTTGATAGGTTTTTTGTCCGTTATCTTTTGATTTAACAGATTGACTACTGATTTGTGAGAAATACACACACAATATTAGCCCTTGTGCCTGTTTATTCATTATTAATAGATGAAGACCTTATATTTTCATGTGGTCAGCTCTATCAGTCTCTTACTGTAGGTGTTCCTCTATTTTCTTTCATAAAGATCTCTTTCCCAGTGAAAGTGATCCCTTCCCCAGCAAAATCTGACATATATTATCTCACTTATTCTTCACAGTGACCTTGAAAGGTAGACATTGTCCCATTTTACAAACAAGGACATCAAGACTTAGAGATAGTAAATAGTTTGCCTAAGGTCACAAAGCTAGCAAGTGGAGAGTCAGAATGAGAACCCACCATTTGAGTGCATCAGATTGGTTCCCTAAAGAAGAAAACTAGTCTTTATTGAATCAATTATGTGGCAGGCACTCTCAGTATCTTTTAAATTGATCAAGAAACCAAAGTGTTTGGTAAATACCGATGCTAGATTATTTCATTATATGGAATGAGATTTGAGTTGTTCATAGAATTATGGAATTTTAAAGCAGTAAAGAATTTAGCAATCAGTCTAATCCCTAGAAGTTTTAGATGACGCAACTAAGGGCTAGAGGAATTAAACTTGACAGGTACTTTTAAAAAGAGATACTTTGACCTATCAAAATGTGATAACATACTATGTCGGTAGGGTGTAGAAAAATAAGCACACTTGTACGCAGCTGATAAAAGGCAATTTGGCTGTGCCTATCAAAATGGCACATGCATATGTGCTCTTTGACTCAGTGATTCTAAAGGATTTATGCTGTACATATATTTGTACACATATGAAGTACAAATCATCTATTTGTTGCAGTATTTTTTGTACCAACAAAAGTTGAAAACTTTAACGCTGATGACAGAGTTTCTAATAAATAATTTATGCAGAATCTCTAATTGGAATATGACAGAACTGTAAAAATGAATGAGGAAACCCTTTAAGTAACCAGAGAGAACGACTGTGGAGATTTTTTAAAAACTAAACTCAATGAATACTGTACAAAGTATGCTACTATTTTGTAGACAAGTGAGCAAACAGATGTATTTT